TAATGTGGTCAATTTGTCCTCCTGCAGTCCAAGCTTGTAGCAACAGAACTAAAGAATAGCTCAGGAAACCCTAACTGTAGGATTTGTCAAAAAGGAAAGTTTTAATCCTAGTCGAAAAGTCGACATGACGTCAGCGTCAAGGACAGAATTTGGATGTTGGTTCCACAAGAGAAGAATCTGACAAGTGAAAGCTCTGCTTCTTCAGAAACTTAGGAACCACACGTAAACCTGCAGACTGAAAGTGGAGTACTGTGGAAAATATTAAACTACAAGATCTTTAATATAAGGTGGAGCTTCGTTGTTGAGATCTTTACACAAGTTAGATTTTAAATTTAACTTTCAAATTAGGATTTAAACCTCATCATGTGAATGTTTCTCTCCGTCTGGTTTGGATTCTCTTCCTGCTTCAAATGTCTCGAGTGTCGGCGTAACAAACAGAGACGTGGTCGTCATGGAGAAAACGAACTCAACAAACAGCTCGGATGAGAGCCGCTCGAATCAAAAGAGCCTCGGCTTCATGTGGGAGAGAAAACAGGACGTCTCCAGTGGACAGAGTCTTCTTCACCTCAGTCCAACATCACACTTACTGCGCAGCGGACAACCAACAGTTGTCTTCCTGCTGGCACCACACTCTGACAGACTGTGTGGGAGTGAAGGGACCTCATGGAGGGTGTTTACACATCCCTCTGTGTGTCTGTCTTTTGCACGTTTTTTTGTGTCGAGTCTGTGATGCAGCCTCAAACCGTGTTGGTGGAACCGCTGCTCCTTCAGTTCGAACAGAGAACCTGTTGATTTGTTCTGTCAATCTTCCTCCAAAGACTGATTTATTCTTCATCTTCTTAAATCAGCACCACTTGGGTCATTTAAGTGTTTTCAGCTACTGCAACAAAATTTAGCTCAGTGCGTCTAAAGACGACAAAGAGTATTAGCTGTGGCCGCCATCTTGAATTTTTGATTAACATTCAGCACGGGGTGGTAATGGCGTCTGGCTACCACCATATCAAGTTTTAGCACGTCTTACACTTTGCAACAATTTCTGTATTCTCTAGGGCAGCAAACAGTTCAGTAGTTTCAGAGATATTTTGCTAACAGACGTTTTCACTAATAGTTTAAGGCAAATTATTAAAGAATGAAAAAAGATCTTATAACAGCCGTCATCAGCTTTGAGGATCACCGACTCCTTTCAAACTTTTTTTTATCTCAGTATCACTAGAAGTGACTGAATTTAGTGTATTTTGTGTTTTCCAGGTTAGCTTTGGCAGCCATTTTGAATCAGGTGGACTTAAATGCTAATTGTAAAACAACTATCATTTTGTCAAGTCAAAGTCAAATTTATTTAAAAAGAACATTTAAAACTGCAGCTGTTACCAAAGTACTTAACAATAAGATCAAGGCGGTAATTAGAGGAGAAAAAAGCATCAAAAATAAAAACGTAAAAATAATGAGAAACAATGAAATACTAAATCAAATCACACTGTGTTAAGCGTCAGTGACAACAAGTGTTTTTAGGAGAGATTTAAAGGCAGGAAGTGAAGTGTCCTGTTTAATGTTGAGGGGAAGATTGTTCCAAAGTGGCCAATGACTGAAAAAGTCTGATCTCCTCTGAGCTTCAGCCTGGATTTTGGTACAACCAAAAGCAGCTGCTCAGATGATCTCAGCAACTGAGAAGGAACATATGGTTGAAGTCAGAAGTATGAGGGTGCAAGGACACGTACAGGGAGCCGGTGAAGGGAGGATAAAACTGGTGAAATGTGCTCAAACCTATGAGTTCCTGTAAAAAGCCGAGCTGCAGCAGTTTGGACGAGCTGGAGATGTGAAAGGGAGACCTGACTGACCCCAACTTAAAGAACATTACAGTAGTCCAGCCGGGTTGTAATGAAGGCATGGACTAATTTTTAAAGGTCAGATCTGGTCAGCATGGACTCAAGCTCAACTGTCTGCCTTAACTGGAAGAAGCCTTTTTGTAGAACAGAGTTAATCTGTTGATTAAACTTAAAGTCAGAATCTAAAACCATCTCGAGATTTGTAACAAAGGTAAGGCTCAAGAGAGTCCAGGTTTACAGGAACAGAGACAGCAGTAGAGTTAGGACTAAACACAGTGACTTCAGTTTTCTGATTGTTGAAACAAAAAGTTTGAAGCCATCCAAACCTTAATGTCATCAAGACATTTTAATAAAGGATGAATTGTGCATGCACTATTTGGTTTTAAGGACAGATAAATCTGACGGTCATCAGCATAGCAATGAAACAAAAGACCATGTTTCCTCAGGATAGGCCCCAAGGGGAGCAGATACAATGAAAACAGAAGGGGTCCGAGAATTGAGCCTTGTGGGACCTCGCAGGAAATAGGCACTGAAGGCGATAAACTATTAGCAACATTAACACAAAAAACTCCTGTTGTTCAGATATGAACGGAACCAATCTAATGCGGCACCAGTAATCCCAACCCAGTATTCTAACCGCGATATAAGGATACTGTGGTCCACAGTATCAAAAGCTGCGGTAAAGTATTTTGTGAAAGTTTTATGATTTTCTTTTAACTGGTTCATGAGATATTTTAAAACAAGTTCAGGTGTGACAGGATTTTGAAGCACTGTCCATTCATTCCTACGGGGCTCGTTTTTGGCAAATTGCGTTGCCGTGGTAACTGTAATTTGTGTGCGAGCAATCTTCCGTTTGGAACGCAATAAAGTTGACGGATAAAGTAAAACATAATAAAGTTTAAAAGTCAGTTTAGAGGTGGATAAGAATGGGAGCTGCCACAGAAAAATACTGGAAGCACTGCAGTGCATGAAGATTCTTGTCCCTTTTCTTATGGCAGGCCCCAAATAACCGGACAGCCAGAACCTGTTTGTCAGAGAGTCTGACAAATTCGGACTGAGACGACGATTCACGGCTCAGACGGCTGACATCACTGCTGGCTCTGCCGCTGTTTGTACTTCTGCCTGAAGCCGTCCAGACAGAAATGACAAAAACCTCTGCGAATTTTTAAAACCGACTCACAGGAGAGCGGGAGAGAAAAGATGAGGCACAGAGCAGCCTGGGAAAACCTTCAAACTCTGGAAATCTTTGTGTTTGAATTTGAAAGATTTAAAGATTTTACACCCAAACTACGCGCTGATAAATCTGACACAATCCTTTTTGTCCACACTGTAAAGTAATAAACACAAATGTAGGAGTGTAAAACTAAACTGGACACTCATTCATTACAGCATTCCTCCACCTGGTGGACAGTCTGCCATTGTTCCTTTAAAAAATCAGTTCATCCACATCCTGTTCTCCAGCTCTGGCCAGGGTCTGGTCCAGGGTCTGGTCCAGGTTCTGATGACTCCACCATAAAGAGTGTGCTCATGCATCAAGGCTGCTCAGTGACCGATGCATGATTTGCACGATTCTTCTCACATTTACAAACACTTTGGAGGTATCTAGTTTCTTCAGATCTGACCACCAGGAAATATCATTTTTTTAATGTGGAAACAACTTATGGAGTTTGTTTGTTTGTTGTTAACAAATTCAAACTGTTTTCAGCTTTGGTAAACTGTCAAATTATGCTACTTTTACTTTTTAGCTATAATTTGGTTAGTTTTAGCTTTAGTTTTTACTTAACATTTTACTACATTTAGCTACTATTCAGCTACTTTTAGCCTTAAGCTAAATATTTGCTATATTTAACAAGACTTTAATCCAAAATGCTGCTGCAGAGTTAATCTCATTTCATCAAAGGAAGTTTGTATTTGTAGTTATTTCTATATTAACATGGTCTTTCCTCCTATAGAAAGTTCACCTGGACCTGCCATTTTGTGTCTGTTTCTCTCAAACACAGGTGGTCGAAGCAGATGGCCGCTCATTCTGAGCCTGGTTCTGCTCGAGGTTTCTTCCTGTTAAAAGGGAGTTTTTCCTTTCCACTGTCTCCTTTGTGCTCGCTCAGGATGGGAGACTGCGACGAAATCAAGACTCAACACAATCTGCTGCTTCCTTAGATAAATAATGTTACTGAATTGAAATTAAACTACTTTTAGTTAACATCTTGCCGCTTTCAGCGAACACTTTGCTACTTTATATTAGCCTTTTGATAGTTTTAGCTCAGGCTTTTTGCTACTTTTAACTTTTTGCTAACCTTTAGCTACTCTTGGTACTTTAATCTGTAGCTACCATTTTGCTACTTTTAGCATTATAGTACATTTGGTTTTTAGCTAGACTTTTGCAACTTTTCGCTATTTTTAACTAGCCTTTATTTTTAGCTGACCTTTTGCTGCTTTTAAGTAGCATTCCACTCTTTTATGCTGCTAGCCTATTGATACTTTTAGCTAAGGTTTTGCTATTTTAGCTAGCGTTTATTACTTTTTGTGTTTAGCAAATGCTAAATAGGTCTTTAGCTAGCATTTTGCTGTTTTAAGATATAACTATTCTAGCTTAAAATTTTGGAGTTTTGCTACTAGTTACTTTGCGCTAAACTTTTGCTACTTTTTAAGCTTATTTGTTACTTAACATTTCTTGTTTTTAGCTAGCATTTTGCTTATGTTAGCTTAAGTTTCAGCTACTTCAGCACTCTGGATTAATTTATTATTTTTTTACTTAATTTGATCTTTTTTGAATGTGCATCATGTTTGCAGGAGGATGTTTGAGTTTTCTTTAATCCTTAAATTTTCCAAATTAAATATAAAATGCTTTTGTGTTGACATTTTGTTCAACATGTATATTTTTTTAAATTCTATTGAAACAGGATGGTATATTCACCAATAATAAATATTATTTGTGGCCATTTAATATAAACTCAAATGTCCTTCAGTTTAAGGGGGAACAAAGCTGGACTCTGTGTTTGACCTTTGACCCACAGCTGAACCTCGGTCAGTAAACAGCTCAGTGATCGTCCCGCTGCTGTTCAGCTCAAACCAGAACCGTTTGCATAAAAACAAGCCTCCAGCAGTAATGGGAGTTTAGTCTTTGTTTGACCTGGTCCTCCCTTCCTCGTCCCAGGTGTCACATGTCAACAGCCCCTTTCCAAATATAACCTTTCTTGGCCCAGTGACGGACTTCAAGAGGAGGAGTTTGTCTCAGTTCAGCTCAGGACGGACTGAAGGACAAAACAAGCAGACAGGAGCAAAACTAATAGGACAACAAAAACACCGAGCACCTGGAAAGGTGAGTTGTTTACAAACTTCGAGGTTTCTTTCTGCACAGCAGGCCTTCCTTTAGCTGATGGTTATTTGTAGGACAAATATCCAATCAGAAATATTTACTGTTTTTGAAATATTGGCTCATTTGAAAGGTTTTACATTCCTGTGGACCCATGAGCTCTGATCATTCAGCTGGAGCATTTTAAAGCTCGTTAATTGGTCCCGATCTTGTCCTGTAGATGTCTCCAGCTGCTTTAGCTGCTCGTCGGCTGCTCGCAGCTGCGTCAGAAGCGAGCCACGAGGGAGGAGGTCAGTGCGTCTTTACCTTCCAAACCAAACTGCATTGCCTGCAAAAATGCAGTGCGAATGCTTATTGCTGAAGAACTTGCTGAAAAACAGCTGAAATTAGCTAAAAACCATTCTGAAATGGAAGAGCAAGCCTAAGTTAGCAGAAGAAAGCATAAAGAGCACATGTGCTGAATTTGGTTTAAATAAACAGAAATGAGCGCAAAATTTGTAAATTAGCTAAAAAAAATGGAATTAGCAAAAAATAGCTGCAAAGGCAGAAAGAAGCTTAAATTACCAGAAGGATGTGAAGAGAGCACAATTGTGCCCATTTAGGCTTAAAGAAGCACAAAAAAGTGGAAATCTTCAGAAAAAAGTTGAGACTGGCAAAAAATAGCTGAATAGTAGCTAAAAAAGAGAAAGAAGCTGAAATTACAGGAAGGAAGTGGAGAGAGCAAATTTTTGCTGAATTAGGCTGAACAAAGTTTAAATGAGTGCAAAAATGTGGAATTAGCTGAAAAAGCTCAAATAAAAATTATAAACAGCCAAATAGTAGCTGAAATACCAGAAAAAGCTGAACTAGCAGAAATAAGCTGAAAGGAGCATAACAAGCTGAAATTAGCAGAAAGAAGTTAGAAGAACAAATAATGTAGTTAGCAGAAAGAATCTGAAAGGATCACAAAACAGCTGAAGGTAGCAGGAAAAATTTAAATTTGCACAAAGAAGCTGAAAGAAGCCGAACCAGCACAAAATGTGAAAGGAGCCGTAAAAGGTTGTAAACGGATCTAAAGATTTTTGAAGGAGGTAAAATGAGCTCAATTCATTTCCTGAGGGAAAAAAGTGGCAGCAAGAGCTAAATATTTCAAAAAGCTAAAGCTGCACCAATACCAAATTTTATAGTAGGATTGTCCTGAAAGAGCCGAACGTTTTGATTCACGATTTGTAGAAATAGCTGAAAAGTGCAGGATGAGAATCGTGCCAAAAACGTACGGAAGAAAAATGGATCACAGTTTTGAATGCTTCATAAACGTTCACACACAGAGGTTTCTGCTCGGAGGTCTGACTTGGTTTTGTTAAAGCCGGAGCTGGGCTGAAAGGCCGACAGTTTGAGGTTAAACGTGGACAGAACCGTGTTCTGCTGAGGTGTCAGCACTTTGTTGGTCTGTTTTCCGCAGCGAGGACCTGGAAGATCCTGACATTCGTCATGGCCTTGCCCGGCGTCGGGGTCTGCATGGCCAACGCCTACTTGAAGATGAAGGATCACTCGCACGACCAGCCGGAGTTCGTGCACTACTCTCACCTGCGTATCCGCACCAAAGTGAGTTCTCGGCACCTGCAGCCTCTCAGATTTACCACCGCGATTAAAACAAACTAACGTGTTCTTCCAGAGATTCCCGTGGGGCGACGGAAACCACACTCTGTTCCACAACTCCCACGCCAACGCTCTTCCCGGCGGCTACGAGGACTCTGGTCACCACTGAGACGACCCGTTTTCTCAGCCGGACCTGCTTATAATTTACACGCCGACCAGAATAAACGTTTGTACCTGATCCGAACGAGAGCAGCTTCTGTTTGTTTTAAAACTGGGGTCAAATCTGTACTCGGTTTTCCCTCGAGGCGTTTTACGAGTGAGGAAAAGCGAAAACGTCACAAATGAAGACTTGAACCGGCACCGAGCGCGCCGTTGTTGCTCCGACACACCTGATTTAAATTAACCAATTAATGGCTCAGCAGAAGGTAGATGATCTGAAACCTGCAGATCAGCGTTACAAAACTTAACGACTGTATAATCTACTATTTTTGCGTGGACAACTTATTGTGTAGCACCCTACAGTCCATGGTGAGTGTGGAAGACGATCCAAGGGTCAGAGGTCGGAGTCAAGGGAGCGCATCTTCATCTACAAGAGAGGGACAAAGAATTTGACGTTGCCGTTTCTAAACCGAAATGTAAAAAATTTCAGAGCAAGTTCCAACAAAGTTACCGCGAGTCAGGTCCTCTGGACGGTTTCTTTGTGTTGAGACGTTTCGTCTTTCATCCAAAGGACTTCGTCAGTCTGAGGAGCCACAACAAACTCAGTCCCACAAGCAGCACACTCACATAGTGGGCCAACCAGTTTGATGGTGATAAGATGGTTTCTGGAGCCCGCCCTCTCCCCCATCGACTCCTCTGAGGCAGCCATGGCCAAAGTGGTTCAAAACATCAAAGTTCATGCTCAATAATCCAGGTAATAATCCAACAAAGTCAGGTCCTCTGGACGGTTTCTTTGTGTTGAAACCAGGGCTTAATTTGTAACCAATCGATGCCAGAACGCAAACAGAGGGCGTCTGGGGGTCCTCCCACAGAAAATTTTTAATAAACGCAATTTCCTGCATTTTGGTGTATTTTAACGGGTTGTTCAACATCTACATTTGTAAACACACCCCTTCTGTCAAGCATCCTACCCCCCCCCCCCGCCCCCCGATCCACCTTGATGGTTCTGAGCCCAACACTTCCTGCTTCTTGTTGTCCGACTCCACATGTAAAACCTCCAGGCGGCTGCCCACGTACGACTGCCTGGTTAGCTCGGCCCTCACCCCCACCACTCTTTCAGGAGCGGAGATTTTTTTAAGGGTAGAAGCGGAGAGGTTTTTTTTTTTTTTTGCTCGTGATTGTTGTGTTTAAAATTAGTGTTTATAAAATTATTTTCAGTTTACATATCCATTAGAAGGTTTATTCGTTCAAGGCCGTCATATTTGTTCTCAGCTTTATTATCAGTAAGCCTGGGAGTTACCGGATCCAAGCAAACAGTTACCGGAACGCACCCTATCAAAATAAGAGTTCCCAGATCCTGTTCCGGCAGAATCCAGCTCAAATTAAGCCCTGCTTGAAACGTTCATCTTTCATCCAAAAGACTTCATCAGTCCGAGGAGCCCCATCAAACTCGAGTCTTACACCTTCAGTCCACCCTCTCCCCCGTCGACTCCTCTGAGGCAGCCATGGCCAAAGTGGTTCAAAACAACAAAGTTCATGCTCAGTAATCCAGGTAATAATCCTACAAAGATCAGTCAGGTCCTCTGGACGGTTTCTTTGTGTTGAACAAAATAAAACCGTCCAGATGACCTGAACTTTGTTGGATTATTACCTGGATTATTGCGCATGAACTTTGATGTTTTGAACAAGTTCTTTAAAAAACTTCCATGAGAATTATTCGATTTGTCATTTTAGTCCTCAGAAGAGAAAATCTCTCTCTCTCTCTGGGTAATCTCGTATTCTTGATGCACAAACGACAAAACCAGTGAAGTGATGTTCGAACAATATATTTAGTGGCATAAATTTAAACAGGACAGTCTGCCGTTTTAAATCATCTCTATGTACAAAATAAACAACTAAAGACAACCGATGGATCCAGCTACGGCACGTTTTCCCATTCGCTTTAACGCTTTCCAAATAAAATTACAAATTTAAAAAAAAGAAAATCAACGTTTTAATCAAAGTTTTCCATCAAAACTTTAAAGTGTTTCGAAACGGTGAAAATAAATTTGCGTTAAATAAATTTATACGTGTTTTTTTCAGGCAAATGAGTAAAAATAAAGACGATGGCAGCTGCAGGAGCTCAGCGTAGCTCTGCCGTTTGATTCAGTCAACGAGTAGTTCAGGGGCGTCCAGTCCCGGTCCTCGAGGACTGGACCAGGACTGGAGGCCCCCGGGTTTAAAGTCTTGATTCAGCTTAGAGCCCCAGAGACCAGGCTCAGCAGATCCTGCTTCAGGGTCTCCCTACAGTCCGCCTCTCGGGCCAGCCTGCGAAGGCAATCTGCAGCCACGGAGGACGAAAACGCCCGAGGACGGTCCTGACGTCCCAGCAGCAGAGACAGGCAGGCCCGGCCCAGGGACGGGTAGCTGTAACGCTGGGAGAACCAGTACAACTGGGGCAGCAGCGCGGCCAGGACTTCGCTCCCAGCTGCGGTTTCTGAGGAGGAAGCGAATCTCGTCAAGTTCTTGGGTCCTGGAGGTTTCTCTCTGTTCACGGACGCGAGGACCGGTTTGGAATCAGAAATCACTTTTCTGATCGTGTTCTCGTCCAAACCCGAGTTCAGTCCGGTGATGACTTCCTGGATCGTTCCGGCTAAAGACGCGGTTTTGCTCTCCGTTTGCTGCAGGAGCGTTTTGAGTTTTCTCGCCCGTCCGCTCAGCTCCGACAGCGTCTCCAGGCCCTCCTCTGCGGGTTCTCTGCGCTCTTGGTCCATTTTGGACTCGGATCTTTCGGCGCCGTCTCCTGTGGACGCCGGTTCGCGGCGGTCCGAGGCCGTGAGGAACGACACGACGACGTCCTCCAGCTCCCTCTGCAGCTCGTTTACCAAGAACCTGCAGGCGCCGATCATCGCTTCACCCAAAGGTGCTTTCTGGAAGTCCTCAGCGGAGCGCGCCGTGGTTCTGTTCTGGCAGGCAACCGGTCCATTCCGGACCAGAGAGTCCAACGTGTGGCACCGTGGGGCTCCGCCGAGGCGACATCCGTGCAGGTAATGCAGCACAGGAAGTAACGCACCTGCGCTGACATCTTTGATGCAGATGGCTTCTTCTGCGCCGCCCCGAGCTTCTCCGAACCCGCCCCTCAGCAGAGCTCGGAAGTATTCAGAACCAGAACCGGCCGCGCCCTCCGCTCCAGCCACAGCCTCCCTGTTGGCTCGGACCTGGGTCCCATCGTCAAGCAGCAGAACCAGGTCCAAGTCAGAGTCTTCGTAGGGACACGTGTCAGTGAGGCGGGGCTTTTTTACTGGTGGGGGGGAATCTCCGTCGGTCTCACTGACTGCGACTGGGTCGGAGTTCTGCTTGACCCGGTCCGTTTTAACGGTACTCATCAGAGCAGACAGGCATTCGGTCAGGAGGGAGAAATATAAAGAATGTAGCGGAGTTGTCACACCTGGACGAGGAGGATTAAACAAGTCAGAAAGGAGCCCTCCACAGTGGGCGTCGCCCTCTTCATCCTCCTCTTCATCATCATCATCGTCATCATCACAGCCAAGAGGCTGAAGAGCCAAACGCAGACCGCCGCTATCCAGAAGCAGCTTCCTCAACAGGGACTTGTTGCTGCGGAGAAAAAAAAAAAGACTTTACACGACTTATATGAGATCACGTCAAATCATATGGAGCCATTTCATTCAAAATAAAATAAATAAAAATGATTAATAAATATTCCAAATGTTCCCATTGAAACGTAAATAGTGTAAATGTAAACAGAAATGTTTAGTTCCCCCGCCCAAGATTGATTTTTTATTTATTTCAAGATTTATTTATTTTTATTTCAAATTTATTTATTTTGTCATTTATTAATGGAGTTTCATTTTGTGACTTTTATTTTGTAAAGCTACTTTACATATTTCAGGGGCTTTTGTTTTTTAACCCCGTTTTTCACCTTAAGCTCTTTTTATTTCATGTTCTTATATTCAAATGAGGGGGCGGGGTTTTCTCTATCTTTTTTGACCAATCACAGCAGAGTATTCTCCTCCCTGCTGTGAGACTGACAGCTGTCAGAGCTTGAGGAAGTGGGAGGGGCTTACAGCGCTACCAAACGTGCTTTTGTCAACAAAGTCTCCAGTAACAGAAAAAAGTCTAGAGATTTGTCACTAGTCGCAAACCCCATTAATAAATAAATAAATAAATAAATAAATAAAAAATAAATCTTGAAATAAATAAATAAATCTTGGAGGATGGTGGTGTAGAGGCAGGGCAGCCGGCTTGGGACCCAAAAGTCCCAGGTTCGATCCCCAGTCACTGCACATCACGTGGTGTTTCTGGGCAGCACACCTCATCCCCAAAATGCCCCCCAGGCGCTTTCAATAGCTGCCCACTGCACCACCTGGTGGTGGATGGGTTAAATGCAGAGACTAATTTCGCCATTGTATGGAAACATACAGTGCTGACATTGTGATGACATTATTATTATTATTATTATTTCATGGGAACATTTATTTATTTAATGGAATGTATTAATAATTTTAAATAACACTATTTATTTAATTTTGAATGAAATGGTTTTCCATACAATCAGCCATCGAGTCTGATTTGATCAAAACAAATAAAACTCGTTTTCAGATTTCTGACTTTTCTTCATCTTCATCATCCTGAGGAGGTTCCAGAGATACGGTTTGATTTGTCCCGGTAAACCAAATAACTCATGGAAAATACGCCTGAAAGCTATTTTTAGCATATTTTCAGGATAATCTGAAACGGGAAACCTCAAAATATGTTTGGAGATCAGGATTTTCCAACTGGCATGGAAAATATTTTCGGGCAAAGAGAAAATTTCATTTTTTTTTTTTTGCTCAAAATCATCGTTAGTCGTCTGTACAGCTCAGAAAGTGCTTCACAACATTCTGTGGGATGTTTCCTTCAAGAAACCCATAGGCCTGTCATGATTACAAATGTTGCTGGGCGATTGTCTCAGAAATTATGGTGATAAACGATAATATTGTTTAAAATTTGACAATAATTAGTAATTATTGTCAAAATTAAAAAGAAATGTTGGTTAATTTGTTTTGAATGTAGTACCTTTTTTGACCACTGGATGGCAGTATAAGACGGTTTGAACCGAAGGATGGCTAGTGAGGGAGCGAGCAGCGTGTCTCTTTAAGAAAAATGGGAGGGAGGCCCCTTGATGTGACATGGGCTGTCTACCCCCCCCCCCCCCCCCCCCAGGTCGGCCTGTTAGCTTAGCTGCTTTTAACGATCCACAAACGCAATTTTTAATCGTTACAAGGGATTTTAAAGAGAAAAGAGCGAAGAGCACCGGAGTTGAGCCTTTTCTCATCCAGTGTCTTCAATAGAAAGAGAGAGACATGAAGAAACGATAAAGCCGATAAATGAAAGTGAGGTTGATAATTTTCATTTACCATTAATTGCTTTTTTGTTTATCACGACAGGCCTAAGTATTTATTCATTTTATTTGTTTTACTTAAACGTTGGAGCTGTTTACGTCTCTCTACACCACCTCACGACTCGATCCCCGGTTCGACGTGACGGGTCACGCGTGTTCATCTTTTTAATCATCAACTGATCCAAATACAACTTCAGTTTCAAATCCATGAGGCGTTGTGTAAAAAATAAATAAAAACAGAACGCGGTGATTTAGAGATGCCACGGGTCCATATTTTATCAACAGAAAATGGTGAACAAACCAAGAACCCCTGCCCATCTTTACTTCTAAAAGAAAACGCGGGCTGGTGAGATTTGCGAGTGATAAATTTATCATCGTCTGTGACTCACCTGCTGATGAGCGGCAACGACAGCGAGCAGTTCATCTTGTCGGACTCTGAACCCGACAGCATCACGTGCGCAAGAACGCCAGAACCGAACCCAGACTCGCACTGGACACGCAGATTAGTCAGCAGAGTGTCGCCTGCGGAGAGAACGAGCAGAAACTGTTACCGAGTGCTTTTATCAACTTTACATGAAACTCAAACCAGCTGCTGCTGCGTCCATCTCACCCAGCTGTTTAACTTTAGCTTTCACTCTGGCCGTCTGCCTCCCCGGGCCCTCGGACCGGTCGTCTCTCAGGCAGAGGTGGTGGCGAATCAGCGACACAGACCCCGTTCGAACCAGCGGCTGCAGACAGTTTGGGTTGCAGCTCAAACGGCCGAGCAGACGGAAGCACCTGCTGCTGGGGTCGTGATGCTGAGTGAGGTAGAAGAGCAGGCCGGACACAACACCAGAGCTGATCAGAGCGGCGCTGGGGTCGCTGGCGTGGGAGAACCGGGACAGCAGCAGCAGGATGGGGGACTCGGACGTCCAGGGTTCAGGGTGGTACGGGTGCTGATAGGCAGCCGGGCGAGGAGCAGGAGGAGGACTTTCAAGAGTGACTTGAGTCGTGGAAGCTGCCGACTGAGCTCTTCTCCTCTTCTGTGGGGAGGAGAACTTCGTTGGCGGAACAGGCGTTTGGGTTAGATCATCAGGAGAGGAGCAGGAGGAGGAACCGTGTCGGGTTGGAGGTGGATCTGTGATGCTCCCTGAGGAGGAGGAAGAGGAGGAGGACACAGCTGCCTTTTTAGAAGGAACTGAAGAGCTGGACGAAGACGAGTTTTTAAGAGCAGAACTGGAGTACGGGTTTGGGGAGGAGGTTTGAGGGGACGAAGCCGCTGGGGCCTGAGGACTGCCCCAGTCTGCGTCCACACCGGAACAATCCAGCAGCTCCCCCTCAGAAGAGATCAAGCCCTCTGACAGCAACCAGGACCTGCAGAGAGCCACCATGTGGGACATGAATACCTCGATTCTGAAACGGTTGCAGTGATTTACAAATTCACAACAGATCAAATGTTGAAACGAAGAAAATGTAACAGAAAAAAAAAAGGTCATTTGAATTTTACGGCAGCAACAGAGCTCAGAAAAGTTGTTCCGGTCCATGTTTCGTGCTGTGAAATGTCCAGGACCGGAGGAGAACCAAGTATTCCAGCTGTCCATCAGTCCTGGATGGGGGCAGATGTTCTAAAACCTGTAGACACTTTTCTGCTTTGAAGGCGTCTTTCCAGATGTGTAAGCTGTACATGCCAGAGGCACTAATGCATCCCCATACCATTAGAGAGGCAGGCTGGTTCCTCTCCTTTTTTAGTATGGAACATACGAGGGTCTGTGATTTCCAAAAATAATTTCAAACTTGGATCTGTCTGACCCCAGAACAGTTCTGGACTTTGTCTCAGTCCATTTGAAACAAACTCTGGCCCAGAGAAGACGGCTGCGGTTCTGGATGTTCACATCTGGTTTCTTCTTTGAGAGCTTTAAGCAGCATGAACGTTTTTTTTTTTTTCCTAGAATTGCGCCGCTCAGGGTGGCTGCACGTTGGAGCAGCTGTTACTTTCATTCTGTTGTTGCTTTTGAAAACTTTAATTTCTATTTTTTCTGGATGTAAATCACTTTTCTCAGATGATTACCTTCTCTGGTATCAGATGCTGTGCAGCTGGAAAGATTTTTCCTGGAACCTTTTTATTTTTGGGCATTTGTTATGATGCATAACCATGGCAACAAGGTTTTTTTAACAACCAGGAGCAGCTGATTAACATCTCAAAAGCTCAAAATACCTCAACTACAGCCCCAAATCCCAAATGAGTTGAGAAAGGAGGCGCCGTGGACGAATTCCCGTCAACCTGGTGGTGATGCTCAAGTACCTGACCGCCGAGATTATGAAGCTGGTGGGAAACTCAGCTCATGATAAAAGGAGGACCGGGATCATCCCCAAACACCTTCAGCTGTCTGTGGGGACGAGGAGCTTTCGGACAGTTCTGCTGCCCAGGTGGACTGAGAGGCCCGCTGGATCTGATAGCAAGCAGGATTTGGGTGGATAGATCGGTATCTATGGCCAGATTCTTGGGATTCGCTGCAGGAGATCCTTCCTGCCCACAGCTATCAGCATCTATAACAACTCCTGAATGAAACCAGGATGATGAGCTATGACACTTAATTTCCCTTTGGGATTAATAAAGTATTTTTGAATTGAATTTACAGTGTGGAAGTGTTCCTGAGCCCAGAACAGAACCAGACCTGTTCTAATGCAGTGGTCCCCGAGGGCCCGGAGATCACGACCATCCAAAACTGACTTTCAGCCTCGTCAGACACAGTTGTTCACACAGAGTGGTGAACCTCTGCCCATCTTTACCTCCAAACTGCTCTTTATACCCCGGCCTCTTACTGACCTGCTGACAATTAACCCAATTAGTTACAAAATTCTCTTTTCGGCCTTTTATCACCCCCGTCCCGACTGTTACGAAATGTGTTGCTGCCATCAAGTTCAAAATTTCCTCATTTTGTTCCCAAAATGTACGATTTCTCAGTTTGAACATTTTATTTGTCTGCCATGTCCCACTGTGAATAAAAGATGGATTTATGGTTTAGGTGTGCGTCGACTTTTCCTTACCTGAGACTTAAAAAGCTCGATGAACCCTGCTCCCTCTTGAATCCCTCCGGAGGGGGAAAATCAAACGACTCCAACCCCGAGGAGGGCAGGAGCTCACTAGGAGACATGTTGGAGGGGACGCTGGCGTCCACCCTGTCCTCCCCTCTGGTGAGTTTGACGAGCCGTGCTACAAGAAGAGGAACCAGCCCGAACTCCTGCAGCTGTTCCATGGCGGACTCGTCAAAAACAAAGTCCACGCAGGCCAGAATGGCCAGCCTGGACAGTGGATGACTCTGATGAGAGGACAAAAATTTGATGAGCACCTCCAGCCCACCGCTCTCTTTCACCTTGGCCCGGTTCACCGCCTCCTTACAGCACAAACACAGAGCCTTAAAAAAGACTCCGGACTTCAGCAAATCCTTTTTCACCTCCTCTGTGAATTTCTGAATGACGCCCAGGGATCCGACGAGAGGCCGCATGCAGCCCTGAGAGCACACGTTAGCCATCGTTTTCAGCGCCAGCTCTTCCAGAGGTTCATCAGACTCCCCCAACGCCATGGCACCGAGCTGAGCCAGGACGCCGGAGCGGGACAGCTCCTTGGCGCATTCGATGCCGCAACCCCGGGTCAGCTCATGGAGGGCCCTGAGCGCTGCCCGCCGCAGCCCGTGGGGATATTCAGGGGCGATGAGGGGAGCCAGGGAGGATAAGGTGCCTTGGGTGAGCAGCGAGAGGCGGTTCGAGGGCGAGTCTGAGAGGTAGAGGAGGGCCCGAGCAGCCGACTGAGCACACTCCAGTTTGGGACAGGGGACAGAGGACGAAGCCGTGGGGGACGACGGGGCGGACAGCAGGGACACACACAGAAGGAGAAGAGGAACTCCACCTGTACACAAACACACACAAAACCATAAAATAAAAAGAGCTAATTAAAGATAAAAACATTTACAGATGTTTATGAGCCGAGTCATGAATGCAAAACACTTTATTTTACTTTTGTTTTGTTTGCAGTTCATAAACTTTGTGGTGGTTTTTTTTTTAAACTGGTTTAAGTTCTTGAGGAGAAGGACCAACATGGTCTAATCATGATCACAGAGAAGAACAGGGATGCACCACTACCTCAGTATCGTGTAAGCACTAATAAAAGTGTACTAATACCACAGTACTGATACCACTTTCTGGCAGAGTGACGTTCACCGCTCAGCTGAGCAGACAGGTGGTGGAAGTGGAGCGATATCAGCTGTTTGGACGTAGTGATATTGTTATTTTGTTGTCTCTCCTGATGGCAGTAATACACCTTGTGGTGTAAGCCGAGCCGCCTCCATCAATGTTCACTCTGAAGGGAGGGCGGATACGGCCAAATACTGGTAATTAATTAGTAGACATGGTATCTAACCCAGCGCTGAGCCAGAGGTGTCTAATCGTGGTTCTGAGGAGCCACAATCCTGCATGTTTTAGATGTTTCCATGCTCCAACGCGCCTGGATTGAATTAGGTGATTAACAGACTTCTGCAGAACACGAAGAGATAATTTAACCACGAGTCATTTGTGTTGGAGCAGAGAAACAAGTAGAACATGCAGGATGGTGGCCCTCGAGGGTCAGGATTAGATGTTAAACCACTTGTCGCCTCTGCACTCGTGCTGCTGCGAGCTCGACGTCTCTTCAGGAGAAAAATGAACAAAACTTTGTCCACTGCCTTGTTGTTTTAATAACGTTTATATTTAAGGTTTTAGCAACGTTACTCAAGTACTTAGATGTAAGTACTAGTACTTGGTTGAAAAAAATGTGGTATCAGTGCATCATTAGATATAAATAGCATAATAATATGCGCTAGTGAGTAACTTAGTAATTCTGTTTTGGTCACTTCACGTATGTCCCATAACTGTCCAGATATTTCCCAGCATGCATTTGATCAATTTACGCTCTGAGGTTAAGATTAATGTGCAACATACTAAAATGATTACAGTTTCATAAACGTAATGAGACAAAGCAACATGTGATCATTACCTGCAGCGTGAATGAGTGCAGAGCTTTCTGGATCCATGGCCAGGTTCCCCAGAGCCCGAGCTGCCCGGTTCTGGACCGACTCCACAGCTACGTTTCTCTTCATGATGTCCACTGAGGGAGTCAACAAAAACATGTTTACATGCAGGCTGTACAAAATACAAACAAGACTGAACTTCTTAAAGAGATGTGATCATTACATACCTACAACGTTTACTCCTTGAAGCTTACGGACCTTTAGAGGGGAAAAAAAACAACTTTAAATTGCAATTTTAAAGATCGATTTATCCTACGAATGTAAAACATGAATGTGTAAGTGATTTTTCTGACCTCTATGCGAGTCTGCAGCTCCGTGCAGCAGTTGGCCAGGATGCTGAGAGCCAGGTCCAGAGTTTTCCTGGAGCAATCGGGTTGTTTGAGCAGGTCCAGCAGGGGACGGAGACCACCTTGACCTCTGAACCTGGCGATGCCAGCCTTGTCCCCCTTGATGTGTTGTGTCCTGATGGCAACCAGAGCTCGCCACTGAGACATTTTGGACCTCTTGTCGGTTTCTCTGCAGTTTACAGACCCTGCCTGATGTTCAGGTTCTGCTCCAGGTTTGTGGAGGTGAGCCAGGCACCAGGTCAAAGAGGACTCTGGAAGTGCTGGGGGACCTTCTTTGGAGTGTATTCTTTGGGGTTTCCGATCACCTTTCCCTGGTGATGAAGCCATGGTCCACTGGAAAGTCACGTGTAAACTTATTCTCTTTTTATGCTCTGATAAATATTACAGACTGCATGACGCATCACTGCACACTTCTAGTGAATTTATGAGAAATAAAAATACATATTTCTGCTATAAATCACCACTAATTCAAGTGGTGGACGTGTGCTTCTTCCATTTCTCTATTTTCTTTGAAATATCCATTAAAATTCCACTCGCTGTGCTTTAAAAAAATACAACGCAAAGCTGTACCACCTGACGCCGCAATCGCTAATGGGAAATTGAGTCTCCCGCTTCAGGTCTACTCCCTTTTAAAAAGGCCTACAGATTGAAGGCCGAGCGAGCGTTATTCTACGTATCTGCTCGATGTAACATTATTTGCAAATCAAATTACAAATAAGGTTCTATTTTGTCAAAGTTATGTTACCAATGCCCGAAAAAAAATTGTAAAAAAACAAAATGCAATCGCCTGTGTTAGCCGCTAACGCCATCTTTAGCCAAACAACAAAAGAGGGGCGGTCTCGAGATTAAGCAGAAATGAAGGGGTGTGTCGTTTACAAGTTTCTGGGATTTGTAGTTCAAATTACGTCGCGTTTTACTTCCATTAAAGTCTTCTGTGCTTTTTTAAAACTACGTTTCCCAAAGCAAGAAAGGAACACTGTCACGCGAACCTAGCCAAAACGATTAGGTTTCATTTCAGAGTCCGAGATACGTAAACGGACTACAACTCCCAAACTACAAAAGCGTCGTTGTAAAAGTCATCGTTAAGACAGAGCATCGGCGCAATCGGTACGGTTGTTAAATTCCGCGCTAGGCACACCGCTGACAAAAATCGAATGCATTTGCTGGTTGTGGTTCAGCGTTAATATGGAGGAGACGAACACTATCGTGATATCAAACACGGATGCGGAAGGAAAGGAAATGTCCAACACGGACAGCGATAAAATTAAAGCAGGTAATTTTTTACGTGATTTTTTAGCTCCCTAAAGGCCGCGCTAGCGATGTATATAGCCTCGCACGATCACGTGACCGCGTGACGTGAACGTAGCTGAACTAAAGGGATAATCCGGTCTTTTTTTTTTTTTTTTTTAAGTAACGTTACTGTTTTATACGGAACCCCGGAAGGGACGTGGGGGATTTATTATTATTTTATTTTTTTAACTTTTGCGTTCCCTCGCATTACTGTACTGTATGTAGTAGTGTTACCTCACAGACAACAAACGTTCCTCCCTCAAAGAAACTGGTCCAGATGACATGATTTAATGGAGTTTTGTTTTGAAATCCGCCTTAAATATAAGGATATCCAGTGTGTGCTGCGGTGGTAAAATTGGTTTTACTTTGGATATTTCACGTTCATGCTCCGTGGGTTCAGGGCTTCCTCGTTCAAACCGGCAGGCAGCCTGATTTCAATCAGCTGTTCAGTCCATCACTGGAGGAGCATGGTTCTCTTAGGGACCGTCAACAAATTACCAAGCTAATGAGCTTGGCCTGAACACCGTTATAATGTTTTATTTCCAGAGTATTTGTCAAAGCAGCACCATGTATCACAAGTTTTCTCAGTATATGTCTGCATGTTTATAAATCGTGAATTTTCTCGCGGTTTAAAATCCAAAAGAACAAGGTGGCAGTTGTGTTTCAAAAGTTTTAAAAGTTAACTTTCTTTTAAAGCGTCAAAGTTCGTTCAAGGATTCAAGATTCTTTGTCATTCGCACCACATGTGGTGCATGTGGTGGAACGAAATTGTGTACACAGGGTCCCAGTTAAATCCAACAAAGGTATTAAAATGTGTGTAAAAGAAAAACGGTAATAAGACCTAAGAAAGCGTTAACTAAAAACACAATAAGCGCACACTTCCGGAGGGCTTCATCAGTCTGAGGAGTACCAAGTAAACTGTTTTCCCCACTAAGCAGTACACTCCTTTAGTGGACCAACCAGTTTGCTGGTGACTGATGAAGCCCTCTGGATAGAGGGCGAAACGTCTTTCCACAAAAAAGAAACTGTCCAGATGACCTGACTGACCATTACTGTATTTTGTACCTGGATGACTGAGCATGAACTTTGATGCTTTAAAAGAAAGTTACAGTACTTTTGAAATGCAAGTGCCACCTTGTTTTGTATTTTAAATGGTGAGAAAAGTCATGATTTATTACCATGCAGAAATATACCGAGAAAACTTCAGTTTTGATGCGTAGTGCTGCTTTGACAAATACTCTGAAAATACAGTAATTTGTTGACGGTCCCTCTCCGAGTGACGGAGCATGAACGTGAAATATCCAACGTAAAACTAATTTTAACCCCTGCCGCACACACTGGATATCTTTATATTTAAGGCTGATTTTCAAAATTCAATGCAGTTTATTTATATAGCGCCAAGTCGCAAACTCCATGAACCTCAAATACGGGCGTCTGCTCCATTGTTGCTGTTGTCTGTGAGGTGACACTACATACAGCGCAGCGTTGCAAGGGAACGCAAAACAAAAAAATGAGACACTTGGATGAAGTAATGGGGAAAAAAATGAGACACATTTATTTTTGTGTTTTTATTTGCTGGGTGCTTTCAATAAACACAACCACAATATAGTGTAGTCTGAGTAATAGTAGTAGTAATTGTAACTTATGTTACAATAGTCGTATTGAAATTGCAGTACATTTCTGGTCTCATTCTTATGATGTCACCAATGCTGCATTCCTTTCAGTAGTTTTCTGTATTTTTAAGTGCCTTGCCTTTATTGTCATCTTCAGAGTTTATTTGGACGCTGCAGGCTACATGGCACCTCGTCAGTACCCGGCTGGACATGGATCAGGCTTTTGACCAGCCCGTGTGCAAGAAGAAGAAACTTTGGGAGCAGGTGGCCGAGAAAGTGAACGTAAAACTGAGGGAGTCGGGGGTCACGGACGTCACCGTGAGGGCGTATGAGTGCGACCTCAAGTGGAGGAACATGCTGGCCACGTACAGGAAGAACGCAGAGAGGTCCAAACGGCTGGGGACGGCCAGCGTCCACTGGGAGTTCTTCAGAACCATTCACGAGGTTCTGGGTCGGAGCAGGGAGGAGATGGAAGCGGAGCGCCAGGCCAAGCTCAGCGGAACCAGAGTGGGAAAGGCCATAGCCAGCAAAAGGTTCACCCCGATCCTCCCCACGCCTCCCGCCACAGGCGCCGCCGCTCCCGCCAGGCCCCCGCAGGACGTCCTGCAGCTGTACATGGAGCTGCAGGAGAGGAAGCTGAGCATGTGGGCCCAGCAGAAAGCTCTGGAGGAGAGGAAGATCGAGGCCATCAACAACCTGGCTCAGGCCATCTCCAGCCTGGCCCAGACGAGCAGCACGGACGTCAGGCCGGAGAACACTTCTGGTTTTACCAAGAAGGTTAACGACTAATGAACTGTAACTTTTCATTTTATTCATCTCTTTACTGTTACAGTTTGTGGAGCCGGTTAGAACGGACTCGTTTTATTCGTCCTTGTTTTAAAGGATTTTTTAAAATAACCAATCCGAAGAGATTCCTGAAGCTAAGCAAAGGCTCCAACAACAACGAAGTAAGATTTATTTTTATACGACATGCATTACACAATCAGATGGATTATTTATATAAATATTTTATTTGTCGTGTTTCGTCACTCTCGTCTCAACAGTTTTATATTTAAAAAACACTTTCCATCAGTCGACACACACTGATGTGACTGCTAAGAATGAAATCATTAATATTTAACTGCTCTTACGTTACTTGTAATCTACAAGTTTCATTTTCTGAAATAATTGACAAAAAATGTAACTTTTTCCACGTTATTGTATTTTTTTTAGATGTATTATCTTGATGAAAATTATATAATTATTGCAATAAAACTTTTGATTTTCGTGCAGCAAAAGATGCACTCCCATTTTATTTACGTTTTATTATGTAGTTTGTTAAAGCACCTTAGACTGTAGCTGTTCTGTGAAGTTTTTCCGTCTCGTCATACAACTTTAAAATAAAACGTGCAAATTATAACTCAAAATATGCGGCTAAATTTTGAATCCTGCTGAATCCGGTAGAAGCAGACGGACGCTTGTCCTGAGCCTGGATCTGCTAAAAGTTTCTTCCTCACGAGGGAGTTTTTCTTTCCACTGTCGCCTTCATGCTCGCTCAAGATGAGAGTTCTGCGATGGAGTTAAACTCAAAGCTGCTCCTCACATAAATAAAGTTAAATTATTATTTTTATATATATGAATTTCTGTTCAGTGCCCTGAGACGACTTCTGTTGTGACTTGGGGCTTTATAAATAAACCGAATTGAACTTTTCGTACAAGGTGGGCAACATTAGTCAAAAAGCAAAATGATGAACCTCGACGAGGTTTTGTCAAACCGAGTCCCGTTTGCAGCTTCACAGCACGAACACGGTTCAAAGTTTAAACGGGTCTCGGAAAATTGGACTTTACGAGTCTGAAATGGCTTTTTGAAACCTTTTAACGTTTTTTACAGAATCTCAGTTTAAGTTTTTGGATTTGTGGAGATTTCTGGCCCAGAATGTCCAACTGCAGGGTGACGATGTCACTTCACGTTAGAGCTGTCGCAGATGAACAAATCTTTAAATATAAATTACAAATTAAACTAATTATTTGTGTCTACTCGGTGCGTCTCACCGCTGCAGGACTCGAGACTTTCTGTCAACGGTTCAAGAATTTGCTCAATCCATATTGTTATTCCTCCAGTTTCTGTTTGTCTCATTAACTTGGCAGTCAGGGAGTGACAGGCGCAGGTGTGTGGTTGCCATGGTGACCCTAATAAATCACATCTTTTGATGCTGGTCTTCTACAGTTTCTCCATCAAATGTACTTTTTTTGTTGTTGTTATTACAAAATTGATGGAGTTAGAAAATATTTAAATTTTCTCCGTTCCAGTTACCGTAATTTCCGGACTATTCGAGTGCGCCTGAATATAAGCCACGCCCACTAAGAACACATGAATATAAGCCACGCCCACACACAAAAAATTGTACATATATAGGCCGCACTTGTGTATAAGCCGCAGGTATCCACGTTGTAACATGAGATATTTACACAGAAATATATTTTAAACTTCTAATTAAATAACATACACAGATACACACAGTAAATGTTTTTTTCTAAACGGTGCCGGTAACAAGGCCAGTTAAAAAAAAATGCAGTAGCCTACCAGGAAGTCAATGATCGCTTCATCTTCCTCTTGTGCACCACAGACATATATACGCTGTGCACTGCGTGCTTGAGCTTGTGCCGTCCTCTTCATCACGTCTCCCCCCTCCCTGGGGGCACAAAGGGGAGGGGAGAATGGACCCTCCCTTGGTTTCATTGGTCCACTGTGAACTGTTTCGTAATTTCACTGGTCAGATTTATTTTATTTTTTTACCTTTATTTATACAGGTAGTCTCATTGAGTCACGAGGACCCACCCCCCAAGAGAGACATGCATTGGGCAGGCATGAGGGCGCCCGGGTGTGAAGAGGCTAAATGTTTTGGTGGCATGAAGCTCGTTAGCATGAAGCTCATTAGCATGAAGCTCGTTAGCATGAAGCTCGTTAGCCTGTCCCCAAAAAAAACACAAGTTAGCCGCAGCATTTATTGATGTTCAAAGCGTGTGAAAAGAGTAGTGTCTTATAATCCAGAAATTACGGTACATCTGTTCAAATAAAAAATACTTTTAGTTTTCAATTCTTTTACAGGTCTGAAGTAAAGTTGTAGTTTGTAGTTGGAAAAACTACAGTAAATATCAAATGAAGGTGGAGCTGGACTCAGACGTCAACAGTAAATATATTTTTAAGGTTTTATTGGCTGATAAAAAACTTCATAAGTTTCCAGGTTGAACATTTTTCAGCAGCAAATCTGCGACAGCGTCCCGCCTCCGAACGCCCTCTTCCTCCTCCTCTTCCTCCTCCTCGGTCGGAGCGCTCTCTCTCCCAGGCTGTCCTCGAACGTCTCGGCCCGTGCTCACGAACACGTTGTGCAGAACACACGCCGTCAGAACCACGGCTCTGGCTCGGTCGTGGTTTCCCACGTCCAGAGACGTGAGCCGTTTGAACCTGGCTTTCAGGCCGGCCACGGCCCGGTCCAGGATCTGACAGAGCTCCTCCAGGGTTCTGTTAAAAAGTTCCTCTTTTGGTCCACGGCTTCCTGCGTACGGGGTTAAAACATGTGCAGTTAGTGGGTAACCGGATCGGGCTACGAGGCAGGACCTTGAAGGCATCAGTTCTGGGTGCCGTCTGAGCCGGTCCCTCAGAGTTCTGCCTCTGTCCCGGTCCGAGCCCCTGCTGATTCTGCAGTGAAGGAACCGGCCTCTTCGACAGCACACAAGCTCGAGGTTCAACCACGAGTCGGGATGGGCCTCCCGCTTCGCCATCTTCTCCAGCGTTGCTCCGCTCTCTGGGTCCAGTTTACCTGCAGGCAAACGGACAGGAACCAGCGTGTGTCCCAACACTCCCAGGACCAGAGGGACGCCGTCCTCCTGCTCGTCTCGTTCAAGCAGACTGGAAAATGGGAAAAGTGTCTCCTCAGCCTCTCTGCCTGGAGAGCAGAAAAAACAGAACGTTAATTATTTTTGTTCGGGTTCGTTCGGACATCTTGAGCCCGGTCCACCCACCGAGCGGCCATCTGATCAGCTTCTCCTCCAGCGCGTTGATGCGCTCGCAGAACGAGGAGAAGATCCGGTGGATGTTTCCTTTCTCCAGCTGGAAGCGCCGGGACACGGAGCGGTAGCTGATCCGCTCAGACAGCAGGGACAGAGACAGGAGGACGGTGTGGGACGGAGACAAGCGCGCCCGTCCAGCCATCCGAGTCCTGGACGTGGAGCTCTGAAGCAGCTCTGAGATGTACTGCAGACACGAGGAACAACACAGAACCAGTCATCCAGTCTGAATAACACAGAACTGGTCACACAGAACCAGTCATCCAGTCTGAATCACACAGAACCAGTCATCCAGACTGAATAACACAGAACCAGTCATCCAGTCTGAATAACAGAACCGGTCATTCAGTCTGAATCACACAGAACCAGTCATCCAGTCAGAATAACAGAACCGGTCATCCAATCTGAATAACACAGAACCAGTCAAACAGTCTGAATAACACAGAACCAGTCATCCAGTCTGAATAACACAAAGAACCGGTCATTCAGTATGAAAAACAAAGAACCAGTCATACAGTCTGAATAACAGAACCGGTCA